CCTTTAACTTCATGTAGGCATGATGTTAAAGCTATAGAGGGTGCAAAATCTGTTGCCCTGGCAAAGAAACTTCCTGGGCTAACATCTAGCTTTCTGTTCATGTTTGGGCACATCCTGTTAAGTCTGCATTGTCACCTGATTTTGAAGCAATTGATATTCCCTGGGCCTTTATGGGTACTTTCTATGCAAGCACTGTTATGAAAGCGCAATATGCCTTGCCCCTTGCCTGAATTTCAATTGTCCCTGCTAGGTAGCATCAGAGACACACAGCTTTTTATTTTTCAGAGAAAAAAAGTATTCCATCTTCTCTCACTTTTTGTTTCCAACTTCCATTTCCATCTTGAGATTCCTGCCCTTCTAACTTTCTTAGTGTATTTGACTAGTGAATAAGAGAATTCAGTTGCTTATGCTCAGGAATTGCTGTCCTAACTGAAGCCTTTGAACCTGTAATTATTTTTTAAAAGTCCTTTACTGCACTATGTTAAAAAAAGTTTTCTATCTTAAAATGACACATTTAGAAGTTCATTAGAGGAGACATTCAGAGCATACATCTGTGGAGATGTGTATTAACTATTACTTTACAAGAGGATGAAAGTGCATGGACTGAATCTCCACCCTGGATAAGAATTGTAACCACAATCTATTTATACTGTGCACTGGTTCTGTCTGCTTAATTTTCTTCACAGTCCCATGAAGACTGGCATTTTTAAGTTGCAAAAACCTATGTGCACATCTCATATCAACTCCACTGGAGCCACGATTAGCAAAGGCAGGGTAAGAGAAAGGACAAGAAACTTCAGCTATGTGGGAGATAGGCATTTCAGAAGAGTATCTGAAAGACAAAATTTGGTTTACTGTTTCAGCAGTAGTGAATCTGCTCCCTAAATGAGTCCTTCAAGAAAAAATCAATCTCTTGAATGGCTGGTCAACTGTGCATTAAGGAAGACTTTGGAACTGCATGTGTTATTGCCCAATTTCAGATATTTTTGCACAGTGAAGTTCAAAACAGACATTTGAATTCCAGACTCAGGAGATATCCTGTGCAATATATATGCATTATCAGAAAGACAGAAGGGAAGCAAGAAAGGTGACAACTTTAATTGGATTAAGAAATGTTAGGGAACTAAGGAAAACCATGAGGGGAGAGGAAGGTCTCTTTCAGTAGACTGGAAACTAAAATGGAAAAGCTGGTAAAAATAAACATATTTTTCTGTGGTCAGAAAAGGCTGCACTTCTCATATGGGACATTCAAAAAACAGGCCCTACTTTCTCAAATAGTAGAAGGAGAAAAAGTAGAATTATGGTATTACTTGCTGGGATGAATGAAGGGGTATCATTTTCTGTAAAAGCTTGGATCATTCTGTGTAGTTGGCATCCCATCCAATTTATTAAATTCAATGAAGGTTTACAGAGAATGCATCAAAACACCTGCTCTTTCTCTTTTCAGAGTGGGCTAGAAAGAAATCAAATACATTCTGTTGAGAATTCTGTGTTGAAATTTTGGCTTTACCAGCTCAGCACAGCTATTATAGCCCTCAGAGGGTAATCTGGAAATCCACAGTGAGTCCCTCTCTGTGTTTTTGTTTTGCTTGAATACAGTAGGATAGGACTTTCTACGGACACTGCCCATGCTCAGTCTGTCACCTCAAGAAATCCCAAGGAAAGACCTGATATTCTGCAATACTTTGCTGCTGTAGCATCTTACTCTGCTTCAGTTATGTTGGCCGTTCCTACAGGTTGTTCTCAACAGAGTACTTATGGAGGGTGCAGCATTTACCAGATTCTCCATAATCTTGTTCAAGTTCAGAAAAATATGTTAAAAAAATGTCAGGTTTTTTTTTCCCCCCTCATTTCATGTATCAAGTCTAAGGAATGATTTATTCTTCTGGGAAATCTCTAGAACAGTATAAATGCAGGAGTGGAATACTAAGAGCCTTACCAACTTATTCCAAAAAATGATGCATCTGAACAATAGCTGGGCAACAATTCGAAAGAGACTTAATAATAAGAGAAAGGGGCAACTGAGGAAAACTGTGAAGACCAGAAGGTAGTGAATGTAGGAGTGGGAAAAAAATTTCTGGCCTGTAGAAGCATAAATAATAGTGATGAGACATAAATAAAAAAGTAGCCACTTGATTTTCAGGCTGAGGTTACAGGACTGACAATAAGAAATTTATGTTTTTACTTCTAAGTGGAGTCATCTGATTGGAAATTAACGAGGGACAAAAATTTGGTGCTCAAGATGCCTTTTAAAATGAAATCAAATTTCAAGGAGAGTTGTGATTTGAAGTGCAACATTTATATCTACCTTTCAAGGCAGTGTTAGAAGAAGATCCATCCATATCTTCCTCAATAGCTTTTACATTAGCACATCATCATATACTCAAGTGCAAAATTACCATGATAACAAAAGAGAATGGGTTCTTTTAATTTGCTTTGCTGTTTTGAACATCCAGTGACCTGCAAAATCTGGATAAAAGCCACTGGTTTATTACTCATTAGAAGGCTTTAGAAATATCTCTTTGCTTTTATAGCAGTGATGACTGCCCAGAGTTGTGAAATTTGGTGATTACTACAGAATGTTAAGAATAAACACTGGCACCACTGATGTGCCTTGTATATGCTAACAATAGGGTACAAAATTTACTGGATTACATAATATTCACTTCTAACCTGGAGCAGACTTAGAATCTTATTCCATGGAAATAAGAGAATGAATTGAAAGCAGTTAATAAGATTAAACCCACTGTGAAGCATAAAGCCATAGTTAATGACTCGTGATCTCACTGCCCATGTCTCCACCGATGCCGTTTCTTTGGTCTATGTAATTCACATATATTCTTCTCATCTAGCAGTTCATGACCTTGTTTAAGTATTTAGTCTTTTCCTTCAAAACTCAGATTATGGTAACATTACTCTTTTAAACAGCAATGAAATGTATCGCACATGTGCAAATCTAAAGAAATATATTAATGCTGAAATGGTACCTCTGTTCACTAAAAATATTTAGGTAAATCCAGTTTAATTTTCACATCTTTGTTTCAAGCACCCCAAAAGATGCTAGTCCTTCATCTGATAGTCTCTGATCTCTAACATCTGTATTGTCATCCAATATAATCATCCAGTATCACAAAGCAAAATGTGTACTGTTCTTTCCTCAGCTGATCCCCTTGCAGGATGTTTCAGGGTGTCTAATAGATGGAGACATTACTTCATAATACAAATATGAATCTCTCGGACTTAACTCCTATTTCAAGTGACAACAGAAACTGTTTAAATGTTTCTCATACTTAAAAATATTTCAAATGCAATATTTCTATTATAACAAGATTCATATCAAACTCTGAGTAAATAACACATGCACTGTTACTGAACAAAAAGAGTTGCATATTTAAATAGAAGGAATTGAAGTATTGTTTTAAAGACAATTGAGTCTTGAGTATTGTTTTAAAGACAGTACCACTTTATTAAATCATATTGTAGCTTATGCACAATATTGCAATATATTAAAAAAAACTATAATTAGCTTTCTTTTAGCTGATGAAACTCCACAAAACACACTGGTATTTTTTTAAACTGTGTTTTTTTGTCTTCTAGATCCTGAGATTTATATTATAACCCATAACTGGAGGAAAGCAAAACACAGAATCCACTACAACCTATGCAGTCAAAACCAGTGGCTGTAGTCTGCATGGATAGTTAGGAGAGATATGTTGAGTCAGTACAATAACAGTGTGCTAAATTTTGCCACTCTTCTTCTAACTGGGACAAATTTTCAGGCTATTCAAATTGCTATCACACTCTTGGCACTAGTGCAATAAAATTCTGATTTTAAACCCATGAGGATTTGCTCCAATAGTATTGTTGTGTATGAAATGTCACACTGTTTTGTCATTATCTTCTGAGCATGATATTACTCAGTGTTAGGAGTGATCACAATGTAACTATTAGGAATTGCATCGTGGCTGGCCTTGGAGGGATCTTGTAAAAGCAGAGTTTTTTCTGGCAGTCCTCTTGTTTTCTTCGCTGTTGTCAAAAAGACTCAAGTTGAGCCAGCAGTGGTGCTCCTGTGGCCAAGAAGGCCAGTAGTATCCTGGGGTGCATTAGGAAAAGCACTGCCAGCAGGTTGAGGGAGCTGATTCTGTCCCTCTACTCAGCCCTGGTGAGGCCTCACCTGGAGTGCTGTGTCCAGTTCTGGGCTCCTCTGTTCAATGTGCTCTAGGACAACCCTGCTTGAGCAGGGAGGTTGGATCAGATGACTCACTGTGGTGCCTTCCACCCTTACCCATTCTGTGATTCTGTGAAATCCCTTCCTTCCCAAACCTGTGTATGTGGTTAAATCAAAGGTTAAATCAATTTTGCTGGAAAAGAAGATGGCAGCACAGTATCCTAATCCTTTTGGGAGAGAAGTTGAGATCTGCACTTCAGGAAACTTTCAACCCTACAGGAATGGAGGCCTATGACAAGAATCTGGCATAGAGTGAAAGTCTTTCAGTCACTCATACCCCACTCCTCGTCTGGAGACAAATCCAGAAGAAACTGTGTTGAATTTGCCTCTAAGTTTGTGAACAGTGAGAGAGGAAGGAGGGATGAGTAAGGACACACTCTGCCTCGATAAATGGTTGTCAACTCTACTCATGGACCTGTCAAACGCAACTATGCAGTCTTTTAAAAGCAGGAAGCGGATTTGATACCAAAGGCTACACACAGGCAGCAGCTCTTAACTCAGAGCTTATGTAAGTGCATATATATATGACAGAAGCCTCCACTTAAACCAGCCTGACAACAACTCTCCTTCTGAACTGTGGTATGTCTCCAGAGATCCTTATTCAATTATTAATGCATCTGCTGCTAATTTCATCATGCAGAGTGTGAATTTGTCTTTGCACATCGAGCTCTAAGGGAAGTTTGTAAGAAATATAGAACTTGTCAGCACATGAGAGTCAACACATTACTGCTGTGCTGCAGCCATTTATAATGAAACTAAAATGAGCACTCACTTGTTTGGCATTAATTTAATGTCCCACTTAGCTCCTATCAGACGTAAATAGCTGCTTCATCCATTTAAGCATTTCTGTTCGTGCACATAATGAAGTACTCTGTACCTGTCAAGTAAGCAGAATTCATAACTGAAATAAGAAATGGATGAGGAAATTCAATGTTCTTAATATTAAGCCTCTACAGGGGTAGCATAAGACTTTTTTTTTGGCCTCTGTAAGATTCACCTTTTATCCCACTCTTCAGAGACGATATGAAGACATGACATGTACACACGTTAGTATGCCAAAAATGTTTCTAAAAGGAGTATCTGTTCAACTGATGGCACAATTAACAAAAGCTGCAGTTGTTGAACACATGCTATTACAAAATAAATTAGCTAGCCAACCTCTTGGTATTTAAATGTTTTTTATGTTCTCTATTTTAGAAAAACAGTTTATTTTAAACAGCATTCTAGTTGTGATCATCCTCTCCTGAGGAAATTTTTATGAGAATGAATGGAGGTAATGACTACTATTAGTCACTGTCATTAGCATAAAACATTAGAAACGACAATATTTATAACAGGCTATGACATGACAATTAAAATATGACTTTCTACCACTTGTGTATGCTTTGGCTACAGCTGGTTGCTATTTTCTGAAGTTAAACTGATAGAAGTCTGGTAATGGTATATTTAATAGCATGTTCATCATCAGATCTAATTGTTTTCCACCACAGGGCATGAAGCTTTATGTCCTCTATCAACCCAAAACAAACAGCCATACTGCTTAATGGCTCTTCAATTAATGTTTATGGTGCTACTTTTGTAACCTGAGTTACACAAAAAAAAAAAACAAACCCTCCAAGAAGCAATTTAAGAACTTCAGAAGCTTAATGGGACTTCAACCAATACCAAAAACTACTACAACATATGTAAGGTCCCACACTTGGGGACGTGAAATAGAAGACACTAAAAAGATATTAAAAAGACATTAGAAAATAGAAATAGAAGACATCAGAAAATTCTTTCAGCACAATGGTGTAACTGCCAGGGGAAGGGAGAACAGACCTTCATATAGAGAAAGGTGGTTGAGGGACTTCAGGTTGGCTGCCTTGCAATTGCTGTTCCTGCTGTGTTAAAACAGAGAAGACCTGTTCATCTTAAGAACATCAAGGTCAGACTCTGTTGTTCAAACTGTGAAGTTATTCCCCTGAGAGTGATTTGCCCTCAGTAACCTAGATGCTTGCCACCTACTCATAATTCTTTCCCCTATTTAGCAGAGCTCATGCTGATTAAAATGAAAGAACAGTACAAAGACAGGTTTCTCTTCAACTGCCTTGGTGCATATTAATTTTTGTCTCTTCTTTTTGTAAGAAACTTCTGGAAAGCAATGTAAAACTACTGTAAATATGTTTTCACTGGAGAGTTGTCATTGTTCTGAATTATGAAAATAAATGATTTCTGGCTTGGCTGTTAATTGTATGTAGCAGTAATATATTCATTTAAAGCTTCCCATCAGACGCTATGATTTCTGGCTTTTAGTGATGCATTACAAGCCTTTACTTCTCTGACACTCAGGCAATTAATGATTGACACTCCTCAGTCCCCCATAGTAGATGGACAGAATTAGACAAGAAAGAAACAGACCTGAGGAGTGGTGAAAATTTCTTTTTTGGAAATGCACGTTTTTTCACACCGTAAACTCTGACTGACATTCATTGCAGCAAATATATTTTAATAGAACTGCTGTTACTGTGCCTCTCCTCCAAGTCTCCCAGTAGTTTTTGTAGATCAACATGATGTTCAGAAACAGGCAAAAAAATGCTCTGCAAAGTTTAAAAGCTGTCAAGCCTTCTTGGCAAATTCCCTTCTAGAGCACAGCTGAGAAATGACAAACTTATCACCTGACTGGTTGGTGTTTAAAGCTGACTGCTTTTGATTAGGAAGCAATGAACCTTCCCTTCTGCAGTTTATTCTCTGTTCCATAAGCACCTCTTCACTGAAAATTATGCAGTTGAACTGATTTGAATTTGATTACTGTAACCTACAGTTTTATTATTTATTATTTGTTTTACTGCACATTTAGGAGAATGTCAGGATACTTACAGACTTACTTTTATTTCACATGTATTATTGCTCGAGATTTAAAACAAATCCAATAATAATTTATGCCTGTATTGCAGTTACTCACTTATTGTACATTGCTCCATGTGTACTCACACTCTACTTCCTCTCTGCTCCAGTGAGAATAGGATGAAAGCAATCCTGCTTCTTCAAGGACAAGGTACTGTGTACCCAGCAGGTGAGCTGAGCTAGAAGTTACTGTGAACTGCAACAGCCAACATCTTTAATGGAAAACTCCTGTATTAAATCCTATGCTGCAGACTGTGATATTTCAACAGCCAGTGCTGAGGAGGAGCACTGCCACCAGAGGTGTGTGCATTAAACACTGAATTGCTTTTTCAGTGTCATCAGGCTTCATGAGTTGCAAATGTGAATGCTCTGGGAAGCTTAGTACACTTTTATCTTCTGACAACCTTTCAATTATATGTCCTTTCACATTATTACATAACTTCCAATGATCTGCACTGTGGATCGCAGTAATAAAAATCTATTTCATGTCTGAAGAATACAACTTCTTTGGTCAGTCAGTTTAGACACAGAGGGGAGAATGCATTTGACCAAAAACAAATGCTGAGTGGAGTCAGCTGGTCAGGTCAATAAAAGCTAAAAATATTTGACTTTGAGAGAAAAGAGAGCTCAGGACGCAGCCTAAAGGCTAGATTCAGCCCTAACTAAACTGTAGCAGGGTTATAAGGAGAGATTATTTACCCAAACGTACATGTTGCAGAGGGGTTACATCTGTACCTACAGAACTTGCCAGTAAGGTCTGGGAATAACTGGCACCCTAACATCTTTATTACTAGTATGTCCACAGTATCTTATGTATCTCAACTTCAGGTTGAGTATTGAGACTGAATACTCAGCTTCAGGCTGAGTATTCACCTACATTTAATTTTTTGTATCTTGAGAAGAATGCATATACTTACATAATTTATGTTCTCATTTACTTACCTGATTTTGGAGATCCTCACTACAGTGTAAGAGTTCAGCAACATAATCCAGTCAATACGGATGCTTTTAGAAAAATAAAGGAGGCTCACTTCAGCTGCAATTCCAGCTATTAGTAAAACATTAGTGTAAAATATGCATCTTCAGTAGTTCTCTGGCTTTCATTAATACCAGCTGGCTGTCTCAAAATCTGTAATATATTAATTTCCACAGTATCTGTATAAAGATGCAAGACAAGAAGTATAAAAAAAGATGTTTTGGGTCAGAACATGTAGGTCTTGCATGCCAGTGACAACTCCTGACTTTTGAGAACCTGAAGTTAAGGCTAGTGAAACCTGCAGGCTGCCAGTGCTTCTGAAAACAAAAAGTATGTCTTCAGTGCTCAAATACAGATAGAAGTGTCTGATCTATCTTTTGAAAATGCTGAAGGTTATCAACAAAAGTGATCTTCTAAACAAATCCCATATCTTACTAAACAAACAATTCAACAAAAAAGTCAGTGGAGGGAAGAATTAGTAAAATTTACAGAAGTACAGAAAACCCACTTCCAGGAAACTCCATAGGACAGTTTCCATGAGGTGAATGCTGCACACAGGGAGCTCGAAGTGAAGCCTTGAATGGTCTGTACAAAGCTCTTGTGCATTGGGCTGTGCTCCTCTATGCCCACTTTCAACCTCCTGCTCCACATCAGAGCATTGGGCACAAAACAGATTTATCTCAAACTCAAAAGACAAGCATATATATCAAGCCTTGTGTTCTTTCAGCTTTAACACAATTTAATTAATTATATGATATGACATGATACACACAATCTGTAGCTTTCAATGAAAGTAACTCCCCCAACTGAAATTTAAAACTTTTGTCTCTTTAGAAGTTTAATTATTAAGGTTGTGATTAACTTCACCCAATCTCAGCTACCTAAAAGGCAGCTACACAGAGTACACTAAGTATTCAGTCACATTTTCTAAACAGTGGAGAGAGTTTCATCCCATTTGGTTTTTTTTAAAAATATACCTGAAAAGGGCTAAATTGTCCTTTGGATCAGAATTGAGTACAAATACATATATATACACACATATATACTTATACAGCTGAAAACCAAGAAAATCGGAAAATGCAAGTAGATGAACCTTGGTATTTTGCTATGAAGTCCTGGCTTGCTCAGGATGGGGAAAAAAATCAAGATTTCCCTTTCTTCCTCTATAGATCTTTGTTACACTTCTAGAAATCTAAGCAGGGTCTTCCAACTTCCTGGAACACTTTACCACTTATTAAAACCTGTAGTTACCAACTGAAAAGGAATCATTACCCACAAGTTTCCAAGAATACTAAGTTATTTTTCTTTAGGCAAAGAGTGAAAATCATCACCTATTTCCAAGTCTTAAATGGAAGCCATCTTAGGAAACTTAATCCAATTGTTAGGAATCTGGGCTCTAAGTAAAGGTATTTTAGTTCTGATGAATAGCATTCTGTGTGATACAGAGCAAACAGCTTCACCCTTCTTACTCCATTTGCCATGTGCAAAGCACAAATAATAATAAATAAAAACACTTCTAAGAACCCTAGATTACTATTTACAAAGTGTTAACAACTTAACTATGATCTAAGTAAATCCTTAAGAAACCTACATATTCTCACCTGTTTCTTATCTCTCTCACAGCCTACTTAAAACTGGAGTGTGAATACCGTCACCTAGGCTTTATTTCCAGCTCTAGCTGGGAAAAGGAATCTTGAAAAATACACTGGGTTTTTTTTTTCCTCAAGTCTAGAATCATGTTAAGCTTAAACAGCTTTTGGCTGCATTCTTTTAGCTCTTTCCCTGCAAGCAAAAAATCTACATCTAAAGCAGGGTATAGTTTATAATATCATCATTTGCAAGAGCAAATCCAAAAACAGTGTGGGCAAAAAAAGCGTCACCACTTTCAGAACTCATGATGACAGGGAATGGGGTTCTGGATGAGGACTTCATGCTGCTCTGCAGCGCAGACTGAGCTTCAGGTCTGTTTTCTGGGGTGCAGTCAGGAGGAGCAAGGACTGTGGTATGGGAAGTGAAGGTGTGTACAGCTGCAGTGTGACTCCACATTAGTTATTGATATTACTTTTGTTAGTCAGCTGAAAACTCCTTGGTGTTATTATCTGCCATCAACAAAGGCTGACAATGGTCTTTTGTTTCACAAGCTGTTTGCTGAAGAAACAAGCTCATTTCTAATAACTAAATGTAATAATTGTATTTTTCTATGACATTACGTCTCTATAGAAACTTACTGTAGAAAAATACAACTCAGTATTTAGTGTGGAAGATTTAGGATACGTTAGATTTATAATTTCCAATATAATTAGATTATTTTCTTTAGTATATACAGGAGGACATAGCCTTTAATTACATGATGCCTTATTACCCTTCTCTCCACAAGTCCTAACTCATTCTGGATACAAGACTGAATTAAATATTTGTATTTGTCTTACACTCTAGTGGTCTGACTCTTTTTTATTTACTCTTTTTCATCCAAATGGTTGCTGGTGTAGATTTATTTACTTTCTTACAGATTTTCATTGTCCACAGTTTGTTGCAACAGTGCTACAGTAAATGAACCCTATAAACATTAATAAATATATGTTCACAGCAGTGCAGTGAAGATATCAATATTTTCATAGATGAACAAGATCAAAAAACCACAGAATCTGCAAAATCTGGTTTTTTAGAGACCTTAAAACATGACCGATCTCAATGAGCTAACTCATAACAAGGGGAGACGATTTCTTCAAATATTTGGCTTTTTTAGAAACTATTTGTATGTTCAAAATACTGCACAAATATAGTTTTCTTATAATTATGTTACTTCTGTGAGAAAGATGATTAAATATTATATTTCTTGATGACAGAAAAAGAGTGTAAGAACTTAGATACATTATCCTCTCTCAAAGTAACGTGCAGCACAGGTATCTCTACATGAGCTCTTTTCCAATAGCAAACATAGGGAGAACTAGTTTAAAACAATCCTATTTTTTGCAGACTGAGGTGATCTAATTATGTCACATTTGACATAAACTAAAAACATATAGAAAAATACCACAGCTCACCTGATAGACTGGAAGATCACTGTAAGTCTAAGTGGTGGCATATCCTAGAGAGGCTTGTAATGGTAGCCTGAGGTCCAGAACTCAGGGCTGTGGAGAGTCCCAACCTGAGGCTCAGTCCTTCAGAACCCAGTGATTTACTGCAAATGATGTTGAGCACTCTCAGTTCCCTGAACACCATTCAAAAGGTACAGTACTTCCCTAAGGCTCCAAAAATCTGAAAATCAAGATAAAGTTGGGCAGACATATTCAATGAAAAACATAATATTAGTTGTCGCATTAATATTTTAGCTAAAATGACTTATGTAGCTTCACACAGCATCTCTGTGACACAGGGATAGTTTGGATGACAGAAAACTCTTTAGAAGACATTACCTTCCAAATTCTGCATGCTATGAGATAAAGCAGTTACAAAAAATAACAACAGAATTCGCTACACAGTTCTAACACACTCCTGTGCCCTGCAAGTAGAATGAGAGAGCATGTGATCACACCCTTAGGGTCTCTAAAACAGTAAGTGTGAACAGCAGAGTAAAAAAGAGGGAAAGGAGTAAACTAAACTAAACCTGGTATTTCTACTTTTGTTTTGTTTTTAAATTTTGAACCTTTTTGTAAAATCACTGTATGAAACTTTAGCTATAATTTTATCCTAGCTTTCTCATTTCAACTCTTAATTTTCATACTGCTACAAATTCATCAAGTGCTGCCTCAGTATCTTTTCTGCACCTGCAATCTACTTGAGATGAAGGCCCGTGGTCCATGCACAGTAGTATGAGTATGCTTTGAACAGTGTAATAAAAAAGGAGGTTTGTGGTGGTGAACTGTGTGAATACCAACACTCTTTATGCATATAATACAGCAGGATGATTATATTCATGCTGAGTAAAGATCACTCCACTGAATGCATAGGTACTTTAAGTACCTACAGTGGCAAAAGGTAGGTAATTTGAAGTTAGGTGATGAATGTGCTCAATACTTCCCCAAGTGTCACACCAAGGTAACTTCACATAGCAGAAAAAAATCCTCATCAGTGGGGTAAGGGGAACATACACATTTTTTTGTAGCTTCTAGTAAGGTTACTGAGTTGGTAAACAACAACTTTGTGGATGTCTCCTGATATTCTCCAAAACAAACAGATTTTCAAGAAAGAATCAGAAAATAATTTTTAGGACCCTCAGGAGGATTCCTCAAATCCTAAGCAAATTTCTGATACAAGAACTTTCAATTTGCAAATTATGTAAACCTTTCCATAAACTTTTCCTTGATGGAAAATATTAGGTAGGTCTAAACATCAGGCTTGCAAAAAGGTTAAAGTAACCCAAGCACTCTGAAGTTAGTTAGATATCAGTTACAAGCCAGTGAAACCTTAATTCAGGTCTTTTAATGTATACATTTGATGTAGTCAGTGGTTGAGTTAAATTTCAGTTTTATTTATTTTTTGTTTCAACCACTGAGTCTACAATGGTTGAGTTGTGGTTTTTTTCTGCTTAATTTCATGCATAAGAAAGGGCACTGAAAACCAATTATTCAATAGTTCTTTTATCTTCCTTATTCAATGTGTTGTTCCTTTATTAATTGTTTAACTCTATTCAAATCTTTAATTTTTCTTGACAAAATTATCAGGTTTTCAGTTGTATTTCTGTGTCACTTGTGGCTATAGTATGCGAATACCTCATTAGTGTGACTAATTTTCTATTACATTTCTGAGTTCAAATAAAACATTCACCTCTGTTACATATCCTTGGAAACCAAACACTTGCACCTAACCTTAAACAGCACTCTGCATAGTCAGGCAAAACTCCTGATGATGCCACTTGTAACTCTGATGAAAATCAGATCCCAAGATTTTCTGTAAGACCTCAAGACAAGAAGAAATACAGCATTAGCAGGTTTTTACTTTGAGCAATTTGGCTCATACAAAATTCTGCTGGTAGAGATGCTGAAGGATAATATAATCCATTCCTCGGCTTTAGTCAAACTCAGCTATTTGGTCATTAAACGCCTTCCACTTTTCTTGTAACCCAAATCACTGCAGAGACCCCAGTACCTGAGAATGTCAGCCAGTCTATGGATAAAAGCCCATTTGGGCACACAACCTTTATACATTATTATCATAGACATCTATTTTGTACCTTAGGCAAGACAGTGGAGTTAAAAAGACGGGCACCGGGAAAACAAGTCTGAGATAGGACCAGTCTGGTGTTAATTTGCTAATAATACAGCAGAGCTTCTACTTGTTCTACATATTTCTCCTGACCCCTCCACCATGTACTCCAAACATCCATTTCTGGATCTGATAGAAAAAAAGATACTGGTCAGGATACATTCATGGTCTGAACAAAGCAAGGCAGTTCTTATTCTCTCAGGCATGAAAAACCAGCCCTGGAGCGTATTGTGACACGTGTTTTGCAATATACTTTCACAGATGTTTGATAACAAAAAAGGAACATTTATTATTGTGTAAATTCCAAAAATTTTTTATTTTTCTAAAGTGCTTAGCATCCAAAATCCTTGGATCGAGTAGATAGTCATAATGGAAAATTTAATTTGAAGTGGACACAGTTGCATTTACAGAATGCACTGGTTATCTTAATGGTAGCTAAAATTACCAGCCCTGCCAAGAGTATATTTACAAGATAAATGAGAGAAATGCAGGCATGACAGATTAAAGTTGTATAGCTTGTTTTGGGGTTCTATATTTTATCTGTGAGAGTTGCGAATGAGAATGAGTCACCCACATAAGTCCAGATGTAGAACCTGTTATAAAATGTTTTCATATTAAAAAAAACTAACACAATTTTTTAGATCCTTAAACATATTCTTAGGGTTATTTTTGGTTGACTAGGTATTACAAAGTCTGATGCCTTATTTCCACTAATTTAGTCTAGCAGACTTCAAAGTAGTAAAACCCAAACAACTTTGAATCTAAAATGATCCCTAAAATGGTCTAAAATAGAACTTCTGTTATTTCTAGAACTGTCAGCACTATAAAATATAAGAATATGTAGGTTTTTAGGGTCCAATCCCAATGTGTTCAGTGCTATAGGGAGGACAATGGGTATTACCAGGAGTCTCAAGTCCTTATCAGTGTTTAGAGATGTATTTCTTCTTCATCAAAGACACACAGCATGAGAAACTTACCATGGCAACAGTTGATGCAGCTATAGAAAAACAGAGTTATAATGCAAAGGGATGAAGATAATAATAACAGGCTTCTTTAATGTAAATCTGGCCCAAGTATGTATGTTCCCTACACACACACATTCTGCTGGCTGCTTCATCCAGTTGCCTGGTAAAGTCCAGCAGGTGCCAAGTGATAATAGTACAACTGCATGATAGACAAGGGAGTTCAATTCTCACAACAAACCACAGCTCTAAATACGTCTTGTGTTTCATTTCCTGATGCAGCTTCTTACCCTCACCTGCTGCTTTGCTAATTGCACTTTATTATGTCACTCTGATCTGCTGCATGATTTTAGCCAAATCATTCAGCTTCATTATTTTTCTAATTCTCTATTATAAGGCAGAGATTAAAATATCTACTGCCTTCATTAAGTATTTGGAGTTCTATGCGGAAATTTTCTTCTAAGCTCTGTAGGTGCTATTTAAGCTTTATAAGAACTATGAAGTATTCTTGGGGTTACAATAACTCTTTTGAATGAGCACTAGATTTCCTAAAGCACGTATTCCACAGGCCTTCACTGTCTAGTGGATGACTCATTTTTGCCTTAGATTTGCAAACAAGTTCAGCAATACCATCATAAAAGACTGTAAAGAAAAGTATTGTGCCTCCTTCAAAAACTTATTTGTTAGTTGTTATGAAAATAAAATGGTGACTATCATGAACAGATGAACTTGATTGCCAGGTTGAGATGGGAAAATTAGTTATGATGATATGAAAAGCAGAATCCTAATGTTGGTACTGTAACTGAAGTACTCTTCCTAGATCAAGGTTATTTCACATGCCAGTTAAGCAGGACATGCGCTAGAATGATGCAATACAGTCCTTTACAGGAATGTGTTCTGTTTGAATTTAATTAAATTATATATATTATTCTCTTTTCATTCCTTGATGTCAGCATGGACTTTTAGTAAACGAAACCTGAGTAAAATCTGCAGGATTAAATTCTCCTTCAGAAACCTACTTTGCTTAACTAGAATTCAACATAATGTAACATTCCTGACAGTTGTTTGCATTTTTACATATGAATTCTAAAAGAGATATTTAAAAGATATATAATTCTTAATATACCATACAGAATAAGAAAAAGAACCCTATCAATTTTAAATACTCAGAGAACACTAAATTGAATTTCTATATCATAGAGAATAGTAGTATTTCATTTGAATGATAGTATCCTTGATTATCTTTTCAGCTAAAGTAGGTATATGGAAAGAAGAGGAAAAAGAAAGGGAAAAATTAAAAGAAAAAGAAAGAAGCAGCATATGCAAGACCTTGTGCGTTGGGTTTGTCTTGCCAGGTTTTGGTAGCAGAAGGGGTTAACAAGGGTGACTTCTGTGAGAAGTTGCTTGAAGCTTCTCCCTTGTCCTGCAGAGCCAATGCCTGGTGGCTCCAGGATGGACCCACTGCTGGCCAAGGCCAAGCCCATCAGGAATGACAGTAACCTATTTAAGAAGGGTGAAAAAAAAGAAGTTATTGGGCAGATGAAAACTGCAGCCAGAGAAGAGTGGAGTGAGAACATGTGAACGACAGTGCAAACGTCAAGACCAGTAGAGAAGGAGGGCGAAGAGGTCCTCCAGGCATTGGAGCTGAGGTTCCCCTGCAGCCCGTGGTGCAGACCATGGTGGAGCAGCCGTGCCCCTGCAGCCCATGGAGGACCATCAGGGTGCAGGGATACACCTGCAGCCCACAGAGGAGACCCCCACCAGAGCAGGTGGATGCCCAAAGGAGGCTGTGACCCCCTGGGAAGGGGGAGTAGGGACCTGGCAGGGGTCTAGTGACCCATGCAGAGAGGAGCCCATACTGGAGCAGGTTTGCTGGTAGGACTTGTGGCCCTGTGGGGGACCCACATTGCAGCAGTCTGTGCCTGAAAGACTGCATGACCCACATGGCAGCAGCTTGTGAAGAACTGTTGCTCGTGGGATGGACTCAAGCTGGAGAAGATCGTGAGGGACTCTCCTGTGGGAGGGAGCCTATGGTGGAGGGGGAAAGGACTCCCTTCTGAAGCAGCAGAAAGGCAGAAGCAACTTGTGATGAACTGACCCTAACCCCCACTTCTCATCTTCCTGTGCTGTTGGGGGGAGAGGAGGCAGAACTTGGGAAGGAGAGAGGCAGATGTTTTTAGGATGTATTTTGCTTCTCATTATCCTTCTCTGATTCTGTCAGTAATAAATGTAATTAATATTCCCACTTGAAGTGGGGATATTTAATTAATATCCCTACTTCTGTTTTGCCTGTGACAGTGATCAGTGAGTGCTCTCTCCTGGTCCTTATCTCAGCTCATGAATTAGTTGTTATATTTTCTCTCCTCTGTCCAGTTGCAGAGGGGATGATAGAGCGACTTTGGTGGGTACCTGGTGGCCAGCCAGGGTCAACCCACTACACTGTTTCACTGAATTTTGCCACTGGTTGTACAGGATTGTTCTAAAGTTCAAGAAGAAATATAATGAATTATTAGCTGAGGAATGAATATGGAGTTAAAAATCAATATAGTAAATCATTTTTTTCTGTTTTCCATGCAGAAGTAAATGAAGAAAACCTACACAGAATGCTAAGTCATACATGAGCAGCTCAGCAGTTTGCACCTCTGACTTGGTGGTGGTAACACAGTGTGAAGGTCCTGTAATGCAAGGGCATGTAACAAGGGTATTCACTGTTTTTCTGTGAGGAAGCCATCCATCATGAGCTAATGCATCCTGCATGTCAAGAACAGTGCCAAACATGATATAAGCAGGTACTCTCAGACTATATAATAACTCTGTATAACAAAAACCTATACCTCCATTAAATCAATAAGGTACAGCAGCAACAGAAATAAACAGGAAATATTGTTTTCATAATTAATTCTTCTCTTATTAGGGCATTGAAGCATTTCTATTATCCTACTTGTACACTCAAATGTTGCTAAAAGATATTAGAAAGTTCTGATTGTTTCCATTCTTTGGGCACATGCAGGATTTACACAATCAACTATACATCCTTTCCTTCATATTTTTCCTTTAATATGTGAGGGATGATCTATACCATTACAGCATGGGTATGATCTTGCTCCAATAAACCGTCCTTCTGATTTACAGATTTAAAATATGAAAGCCTGCAATTGTGTTCTCAATAAATTTTGCTATTCTCTGGTAAAGTATCTGAGGTTTCAAAGTTAATTCAATTATTTTAGGCAAGGAGGCCTTTCAATAAGTACCAAACACAACCTTTTAATAGGATTTATATAAGGAAAACAAACTTTTAGAACAATGACGTTTTTAGTAGAAGTTTAGAAATCTGCATTTCTTATGCTTAAGTTGACAGAAATTGCTCCTCTTTGAGAATGAAAACTGTGTTCCAGATATGCATGATTTAGAGATTTATTTCAACATGTTCTGCTGAGTTATAATACAAATTATTTAGTCAACCAGAGGTTGACTCAACTGACAGAGGTCACAGAGTGCATCTAAGTTTTTCTGGAGGACAAAAAACTTCAGAAGGCATTAGGATTTTTTTCTGTTTAGTATTCAAGTACTTTTCAGTTTTTCCTGTGATTTTACATGTTAATTAGGGTTCTTTTTGTACTTTGATTAATCTGTTGACAATAGAGGATGACTTGAAATAATAACAAATATGATCTTTATTTTTTGGGCATTAATTACAGCCAGCCTTTCAACTATGGCCTCTCTTTTTGTGCAAAAACTTTGTAACCTCTTAGTGAAATGAATTTTTTTTCTCATACTACCTTAGAAAAAATGCACTACAAATGGATTCTGTCCTCCTGAATCCTAAAAATTCATACATTCTGATATAGGGATAAGTTGGTTCTTTGTCACATAAGATTAACTTATAACCAATGATTCTGACTCTATGAAATTTTTCTCAAAAATTACTTTATCTTCTTGCAATCTTAATCCATTTACTGAAGTTCTACAGCATTATAAAAGAATTCAGGTAATACTTATGTAAAAAAAGTGACTATTTTCTTTAATATCTTTGCAAAAACGTTGTAGCAAATAGATTGTGTAAAGAGATTAAAATCTTGTTTAGATTTGGTATTTCTTTCACAGAAGAAATTACAGGAAATTACAGAACAATTTTCTGTCAAAATATGTAGCTGCTTAGGAAATGCAGGTAGATTTTCTCAGTCTTCTTTTCCTTTTACACAGTGTTTTTCCATAAAAGACTAGAAGTGTACCAGTGTACTATCACAACCAGTAAACTTTACAGAACATGAGGTATCTCTAAGAAGGTTGCATGAAGAACACTGATATCCAGTGCTGTCCCTACTTAACCTTTATACAATCTCGACTTGTTTCTGCATTTTAATGCAATACAATATAGAAGATGTTCTAGGACTTGTTTTCCTTAATGGATCACATACTTCTTTCAGACATTAACAAAGACTTTTTCTCTCCAATGTTGAGCTTATTCTGTGACTCTCCTTGACCTCCATTTATAATTTTGTAGTTGCAATATTTGTTGCAAAACTTTGGACTTCTTAGAAAGACAGTCCACAAAACAACATTCCTACTGCCAAACATGAAGGAATACATCACTAATGTAGACCAAATTTTTTTTTTATTTGAGCACAATGCATCACTTACTTGTTCTTGATTTTAACCTCAAGATAATAATCCTGGGTGATATTTCATGAGAACTACTATAAATCCATATTATTATGGTAAAATGTTACGCCGTTCAACTGATTATTCTAATGGCAACTTGGTTGCTTTAGTAAATTCCTGATACTCAGCTCAGAAGCTCAGTCCTGGCTGTAGTTTGGCTCTCTGGCAATGGGGAGACACAGGCTCTTCCAGCCTGCTCTGCTTAGTCACAAGGTCTTAACATCCATTTTTTCAGACCTACCACACAGTGACCTGTTTCACATGCACTCACCCACTTTCAGTAACATCAGTGTTACGCAGTTCAGAAGTCAGCAGGTTTGAATAAAATGAAATAATTATGGCTGGGCTACAGACTGAACAGGGCATGGAGTAAGAGGACAGAGATCTCCTGGCTTTATGGCTCTATCTCTGTTACTCTGAATGGAGGCCGAGGACCCCACAGAGTTAGAAAAATGTTGTCAGCATCCTTTGTGAGAAGGTCAGGTATACTGTATTTCCTAAGGTTTTCATTTATTCATATGAAGATTTAAGCCTTTTTTTGTTAAAACAGAGTAAGATAAGCTGAATAGCAAAGAAATAATTACATCGTGCTACTTCATTTTCTAACGGAGGTTGCTTCTCTAGGAATATCCAATTTTTCCATTAAAATGGCTCTTGAATACATGCAAAACATCTGCTAGACAAAAATGTAATTCCTTGATTTAAGTACTAAAAACTATACTGCACTATTTTCTTTTAAAGATCAAACTGTTCTACAGATGAGGTCAACCTGGACAAACAAAACGAAAATCTTAGAAATATTTTACTGAGAGTCTGGTTTTTCAACCTCTCTTTTCCAGTGTTTTTAACTCATTGTTTTGATATTTTGTACTGTTTTTAGTTCCTATTACAAACAAAACTAATTGGTATGTGAATTCAGCCAAAGAAAATGTTTAATTGGTGACCAGTGCCTGAATTGATGCTGCAGCATAAGTGAAGTTATGTGTTTTCTGATGATGCACATAAATTTTCAGGACGTCAAAATTATGGCTGACCTGACTGGTGGATGTGTGAACTACGTCACAGCTTTCCATGGAAGATCTGAAGATAGCTGTTAATTACAATAAGCAAACTCTCTTGTTACTTTTTCAAAAATTAAGAATGTAGATTTTTGTTTTCCTAAGACATAGCTGATTAACTGCTTCAGAAACAGTTGTGAACTATACTTTGTAGTTGGCACAGAACAACACATGCAGTCATGGGTAATTTTTCATACTATTTTCCTGAAAATCAATAGAAAAACTGTTTGCAAAAACAGTTGCTTACACTGAATTATTAACCTACTCTTTCTACATAATCCTTATATAAGAATATTTCAAAATGCATAAATTTACTGATATATTCTGCCATTATTTTTTTTTAAACTACACAAAGAATGACTTTAAAGTGGACTTGGAGACAGGAATATTAAAGGACAGTGTTCTGCTAAAAAGCTATATTTATTGGAGTCTATCCTCAAGGAGTTCACAGTAGTTACCCTCACATAAAAATCTGATACACAAGTGAGAAATTAGTTTCATGTACTTTGCCCTGGATCTCACATCAGGTATAACCTAGTCACAGCTTTGTGTAATTCATCATTTCAGTAAGGCATGTGAGCATTTCCTGGAATACTTATATAGTAAAATCTATAATGTATAGTAACCTATAATCACAGTTATACCAGTATGATGAAAACGTATTTAGAGGAGTGGAAAGTATTTTTCTTGTTTGTACAGATACATCCTCACTGAAGCAAATCTGCATAACTACATGCTGGGTGGGTACATGGAAGCTTTTTCCTACAGTGGTACACTCACACTGATGTGCCTGCAATATGCAGACAAACCTTAATTTCATGTTATATCACTTTGGCCTGTAGAGTGGTTGCAGCACATAAATAAAACTAATTTATAAAGATCTTGAGGCAACCCTTTGGAGAGGATAATTAAACCCTTTATATCTTGCTATACAACACACTCTGTGGTTTGTAAGTAACCGGGGAATACCACAATAGCTGGAAAATGATAAATCAGCCAGACCACAGTCATGGGAAAAGATGCCAGAGTAATAAATGTGTCTAAAACTGTGTATTTGGTGCACAACATGATCAGTTTCGCTTATTAACTCTTATCTAGTTTAACAATCATGAAAGAGGACAAGAATTTGTAGTTTTTGTATTGTGATTAGGTTTACATTTCTGAGTCTGTGGACAAAGTTGTAACTGAGTCGAATTTTTTTGTTTGTTTCCAGCACTGACATTGGTCTTCAGCCAAATTCTCATATATAATTTGAAGTCTATTTAAAGGAGTAATCCAAGATAAATCTTTATGTTTAAAGGTATTTAAACAGGAATATAGAAAGTGATCCATGCCATTGCATAGCAATACCATTAATGTCCTTGCCATTCTAAACCATAAAAAAAGAAAACCTTCCAAGCATAAAAACAAATAATAAACTTCCTGTCTCTTTACAGATACATTTGTCATAGGAAGAAATGATAAATATTTTCAGAAGCAAAGATAAGCTAGTGCTGTATTTTTCTATGTTATGTGACTAGCTTGTTTTCAAAATGTTGTCATGCTTTTAATAAACAGCAGCTCATGTTTTTAGCAGGAGCAGTTATAAAAATATACCATCTTAATATTTAACATTAAAAGACTAGATGACAACACTTCTTTTATTTAAATGAAGGGTATCATAAAAGTAAATGTTTTGTTTGCCATTACACCATAATCCTTATTCTGCTATGCAGAGAAATATTGCTGGAAAGAAATATTTACTTTAAAAATGTTGATGAATAAGTTGTTAGTAAAAACAAATGTACAGATAAAATAGGAAATAGGAAAACCTCCTAAGATGTGTCAGAGCTTACCTGACCACTTCTCAGCAGATCTGCTGCTTAGCTGTCCAGTGCCTGTGAGTCCCTGAAACAGTGAGACAGAATAAACTCAGTGTAACCATCACGTACCCTACTAAATTCACTTTAACACTTCAAACAACAAAACATACTCATCATAAACTATTCAAAAAGAGCTAGCATGCAACTCCAGCTGCAAGAGATTTTGTTCACAAACTGAACAGCAATTGGCCTGTACTTTAGTCTCATCAAAAAAGTAAACCAATCACATTGACAAAAAGCCACTGTAAACAAAAAGACTGTATTTAAAGGATTAACAGTTTTGGCATCCCTACCATCAAGTCTTCTGTTCTTTTTTTTTTTTTCTTCATCAAAATTTAGGTTATATATTTGTTGTTAGCAAGAGTTGCATTACTATTATTGTTAATTTTAGTTCTGTTTATTACGTTGAGGGTTATATATTGTAGAATAATTTTGTTGTCACTAGTTAATGTTAATTAGTTGTTTTAATAGCCTATATACCTATTTGTTATCTTTTGGTAGGTTTACTTTTTTAACTATCAGTAACTTAATAACTGAGAATATTTTACATTACTGTTGCATACTCAAAATTACAGAGTTACTATTAGTGTTACCTGTTTAACGTTTAGTCATCCTTTGAGTGCTGCGACATATTTCCTTAATAATCATCAGCCATCAAGTCTGATAGTCTCAAAAGAATATCAGCCCTCTAAACTGCCTTCAAGGGCGGTGATATTTAGCACTGAAAATTACAAATAAAGTTTTTGAAGTTGAGTACCAACAACTGGGCAGTGACACTGATGATTTGTTTATCAAGACAAATTGTTATATACTACGAAAAATGCAGTCAACGCACTCTTCTGAGTGAAAACAAATAGGTGAGTCTATGCAATGCTTACATGTTGAATGGGATATTTAATGTGCGGGGAAACTCAAAGGTTGAAGAACTAGCATTTAGACAGTCTAACAGTGGTAAGTGGTAATCTTACCTCTTTAAACTCCATTACATTCTCACGAGAGACATGCTAATACAAACAAGTCAATCAGAGTTTGTGTTTAGCAAGATCAAGCTTAAAGGATAGTTTAAAATCCATTTATTGTTCTAAAGCATTTTTTTCCATTAACATGTTATACATTAGTGGATACTAACCATGATTCATGTAACAGTTTAGTTTGTTAACTTTTAAATTATTTAACAACCAGAAGTTATTAATACAACTTTTAAATTCTTACACAAAAAATCTTAAACAGGCTTGGGTTCATTTTTGTAATTTTTATATAAAAAACATTTTAGGCATCTCTTGAAAAAGAAATAAAGCAGGCATTTAAAGCTAGAAAACAAGTAATTCCAAATTTAGTTTGTTACAAAAGGTTTCAGCTTTATTGACAAATTATGGCAAACATATTTGACAAAATTATGGTTTCCTATTTAGAGAAGCTTACACATGGAACTTTAAGTGATTTTTTTAACAAATACAGGTTAAAACACTGAACAACTTCAGTTTGCTACATACATATAGTAGCTGCTTGTTTTCAACCCCATTAAAACAGCATTTAAAATTAAATTTACAAACTTAATATCGAACATCTTAATCTAAACTAACATATATTAAAAAAGACAGGTTAAACATCTTATCTACAGCTTGATTATTGTCTGGTTCAAAAAGAAAAAAAAAAAAGGAAAAAAGAATCATATTACAGTCTTTTAGCAACCCTAAACAGAAACTCAGCTTTAGCTAGTATGTAGAGAGACTCGAGATCTGTAACAGTGTCATGCTTTTTAAGTTACACACAGCAATGAATACAACCAATAGAACATCATCTTTGAATAGTTTATAGACAATGTTTGCCAAAGGATTTTTGTCTCTGTTTTTTTAAGTCCGTGTTATAAAATAATACTAATGCCAATGTCACGCCAATGTTATAGGAAATACAAGTAGTACATAGGATAATAATGAGCAGTAATCCCTAGGATAGAAAAGAAATGGACTATTACTTGTCTTGTTGCTGTTTATGTGGAGACCACAGGCTATTAATTGTCTTTGAGATGAGGTCACAGATGAGGAGGACCTTCAATATCTACCATAGGGGTGTTCCCTGTAACCCCCTCTGGCTGACCTTGGAGGTGGTGCCTTTAGGCTGGAACGGGTTGTGGCCCATTCTTCTTGTGCTAAAAACAGAAGAGAAAAACAAGTTTTGTGAATATCTAAAACTGAAAGAACAAAGGGATGCCACTGCTAATGGCTGTCAAAATTCTTGAGGATTTTGGCAGAAACCTTTAGGAAAATAAAATGAGGATGGTGTTATCATCCATTTCTTTACCCCCCCAAAAAAAAAAACTTACAGAAGACTAACTTACTTTTCTACACAGGCAATCTGTCTATCTCAGGAAGAAAAAAGAGCCTTACACCTTCACTTTCAGTAGAGAATGAACAACTACTGTGGTGATGGTACAGTCAGCTCTAGAAAAATTACTGCGTTAGTCTGCCAGTTCAGAATTTATTTGATGTTTTGAATTTCTAGCATTTAAGTTAAAGCACAAATTTGAATAGCATTTAATGGAGTTGGTATGGTAACAAGATGAGAAGTTGAATCATGAAAGGATAAGAGTGGTATGTTTGATTTTTTACTTCCATTTGAGATGAAAAGAAAGAAAATAATGGAAGAAAAGCAATGTGTAGAAGTGAACCTACTACACTAAGCAAAAAGAGATTTTACTATGCATTATCTTTAGAATACTTTCTCAAATTCTGTGAATGAAATATGCTCGGAAAGATCAAGATAAAAACTGTAAGTCTAGTTCAGTTTTTACAAAGCTTCTACAAATATTCTCCCTCTCCTCGACAAGGTATTTTGGAAGTTAACCCTGAGAAATCAGGAAATTACCTACAGTTGTGGTCTAGCAGTTTAACCCAAAACTTGAATTCTCTCCTAAATCAGATAGTGGATTGTGAAATGATTTCTGGTTTTGTTTTCCACTGACTTCAAGTGATCATGCAGAGTGATTAAAATGGAAATGCAGAAATTATAATGTATCATCTATCTTATATCACATCATAGTGCTACATTCTTGTTGCGTATCTTGTATTTGCTAATGACTGCTGATTTACGTGACCACTAAGAAAACAATTAGCTGGTACAAGACAAAAATACCAAATGGTTAAAACAGGTATCAAAGATTCCTTTTGTAAAATGATAATGCTATGTGAAAACAGAACAATGAAAATAGAAAACATAAAAAGCCTGTTAAGATTCTGAAAGCTATTTCTTCTCTGCAAGATGTCTTCTTTGCAACTACACTTCATTATCTTGTTGCCTTGGGGTATGAGGGGAAAGCTTGGAGTATGAGGGGAATAGCATCTGTACAGCTTAAAGTGAGGTTCAGGCTAGGATGTACTAGATATGTGTGGACATCTCTGGAGAAGATCTGGTAGCAGCTGATCTTGCTATGGAACAAGAGACATTCCTGTTGTGATTTTTTGGTGCACTCCATTTATCTTCTTTTTCTTTGAGCTCTTCAGGATGTTCTCTTCTTGAATATCAGAGGTTTTATGGTCACACAAACCCAAAGTTTACTGTGGAAAGCTATTGCCTATAGAGTTTGAAGAAGTAGCAGCCAATATGATATAGTTCTAAATCCTGAGGTCTCTCATTCCTAGAGGGAATCAGTTTCCATATAGTGAATTTAAAAATCCTCCCTCTGCAGTATATTTCATTACACCCTTTTAAAATGGCATTTTGCTGTAAATTTGCTGCAGCTTCAATTACCCTTTGCTGAAGTTTCACTGCATTTGCAGAGAGGCCTCAGGGAGAAGTGAGATTTATACGGAAAAGGAGAAGCTTTATTTTTATAAATGAAAATGACTGAAGTAGTAAAAATACTCACTAAATGTACAACACAAAGACAAACCAATTTCTTGTTCCCTTTCAGTCCCCTCACTCATCTGGACTGAAACACCTTTGTATAAAGGTGAAACGTACAGTATTTTTGGTAGTACTTGTGCATTGAAAAATGACTTTATATTACCAACTGGAGGAAGCTGTTTTTCCTTGACTGTTCTTAAAGCAAATTGCTGCTCTTGATACAGTACAAAACCAGAATTGTAATTTGTGGTACAAGTCTCTTTCTCAGTAACATGGTGGACCTATTTGCTTGATTTCAAACTTTAGCACCATCAGCGACACCATGACAGCTAAAACCTCCTGTTGATATCGCATGATAGACCCCAGTGTACTAACAGGTGAATCCATAGCCAAAAACAGATAGAACTTTTGGGATTAAGGCCTTCAAGTGGGAAAACACTGGCATCTACTACTCATACAGCAGTACAGGATTACATATTTATTATGGAGAAAGCAACATAATAGGGAGCAGCACTATCAAGAGTCTGAACCACACTATGCCAATAAATTACAGGATGCAGCCACACTAAAAAAGAAGTCAGATTACTAGTGGTTTTTTTCCTATGGGGATTTTTAATGAACAATAATATATCCGCATGCTAGTAATTAAAGGTTCCTTGGTGTGCAAAGCTGGTCTTTCATGTCTCCATTTCAGAAGTACAATGTAAGCTTTCTTCTTTCAGCACGGAGGGAAGAAACAGGGCTTCTGAGAATGGAAAACTCTTATCTGCAGGAACAGTCTTAGAAGATTGGAGCCATACAGACTACCTCAGTAGCTTGTTGGACAGCAGAATGCTTGAAAGACTGATTACCAGGCTCAGTTTCACTGTGTTTGAGAACAGGAGAACAGTGGAGCGTGGTCTGTCTCTGAAAAACTGTACCAAAAGGGGAAGGAAAAAGACCCTGGATGTATTTCATCTTTGTAAAGTCACATGTTAATAAAGTGGAAACTGAGAGGGATTTCAGGTGAAGAGCAGGTAATAGGTGTAGCTTTGGAGATAGAAAGATAATTGGGAGAACTGCAAGTGAGAGACTGACCAAGAGCTGAAGAAATGTGCAGGGCGGTCATTGTGCTTTAATGTTGATTCCTTTTCCTTCTTCTGATTCCTGTTAAAAGAAACCCTGCACAGTCTGATCTTTCTCTTCCCTCTGCGACGTCCAGACCTCCATCCAGTCCTTCTGCCATAGCAGGCTCCACTCATACCCTGTCCTTTTCACTTCTGACTGTCCCCAGTACTATCAGATATCAAAGACTGTGACAAAAGACATCCCCACAGGCAGCTTAATAACTGAGGGCAGAAGGTCCAGCTTTTTCAGGAACTTGGTGTTATTGCCAACTTTGCCATTCTAAGTTAAGGAGAAATAGTTTATGTTTTGCTTTCAGAAACTAAAAGTATAGGTTATATCAGCATGATGGAAACATAATAGAGTTTATATGTGAGGAACCTGAATGTGCTTGGGCATGAGGATTCCTGTGGGTGTGGTAACAAGTGTTGTAGCTACTTTGATAAGAAATGAAAAGACATGGGCAAAGCCCTTTTAATTACAATGCATACTTTCAGTTTGCTGTATGCTCCCTGTCTATTGGTATTTGAAGCTCACCTTTAGGATATAAAATTAATTACTATCACAGTAAATCAGCACCCTTGATTTATGACTGATTGAAATTACATATTAGTATTTTTGCACTGCTTTTTATGGTTCAGATTGACTTTTATTTATTATACTGTGTTAACTGAGTTATATAAATGCTTTCAGTATCTATTACAGACTATTGATATATTAGCTGAAGCTATCTTTGAAGATTATTGGTTGATCAGTGCTAAAGAGACTCATTAGCTCTTATCTAAAATTTAAATACAGAATCATAGCTAGATTTCTTTCTTACTGGAGAGTCAGAATGAAAAAAGGTCATACCATTTTTAACCTGAGAAATTCCTTTGAATATGGGATCTAAATGGTTACATTTATAGCACAGAGAGAGGTACATATGAAGTTGTTTCTGTCTTACTATTTTATCTATGTATTATTGAAAGCACAGAAAAATTCAGTGGCCCATCCATGTGGCTATCATCACATGCTCAAATGTCTTCAAGTACAAGATTCAAGAAAAGCACATATCAGACACTTTTTTTTCACTCTTCAATCTGCATTCTGCAACTATGTAAAGGAACTTTCTAGGATTGAATAAAACTCTTTCACAAATGCAAAAAGGGAAACAATGCAATAATGAAAAGGCAGATCACATTAATGGATGCTTTATAATTAAAAAAACCCATATTAACAGCTTGTGATTTACATATGAATGTGTTATTTCCAAATATTTTTGTATTTATATTCATTATTTAGTCCCTGTAATAACTTTTTCTTCCTAGTAAATTATTTAACATGTGAGTATTGCCCACAATTATTTGGCACAATTTTATTAATCTGTGGTCAATTATTTTGGACAGGTGGCCAGGAAGAGATTAGAAAAGGCTATTCTGTTCAGATAGTTATGATATATTTAAAAGCAAGTAATCTAATGGTTTGATTTCATTTTCCACTTAGCTTTCAGTGTTATAGAAACAGAAGCTGCTTTTAATTCAGAATAAAATCTCCACCATTTTTGCAAGGTCATTTATACTGCATGCATGTGGAGAGAGCACACTGCACTTAGGGTAGAGTGCAAGTGGAATTCAGGAATTGTGATTGCTAGCTCTACTCCTTGTTTGCTTGGTGACCTTGGATAATGTTCAATATTTTGTGGTATGGTTTCCTCAGTGGTAGAATGAGACAGGAATACCCATCTCCCTGGGGTAGCTAATTGCCTGAGCAGTAAGAGAAAAGTGATACAGATGTGCTGAACAGAAGACCCAATAGAAACCAGACATGTTGCTTTAAAATGAGAACACTGAAAATTAGAATGCTTTTCTTTGGACAATTCAATTTGTGCTGTATTCCTAGTAACCCTCCAAACTTCTCCCTCCATGAAAAGATGGATGGAGACAAAGTACTGAGCAACGGATGGAAAATTTGCCCTACACAACCTAATGACTGAAGCTCAACTAACATTGACAAAGCCAATGTTTCACTTCATAAATAATAATAAAAAAAAGCAGCAGTTTTCTTGTGTCATAATTGGACAGGTATATATTATTTTAGACAAAAATACAAGAACAAGTTTTTGTCTTTGTTTTTTCTTTTTTTTTTTTTAAAGGAGAGCATCCACTTACTTTTTTCACTCTTCTGGTCTCTTTTTTGCTTGTCTGCAAAGCTTGCAGGATT